ACTTGGGTCAGTGGCTGTGGCATGGTGGATGTACTGCTACAAATGTGCGGAGGAGGGCAACAAGGATGATTCAGAGACTGGAGGCAAAGCCCTGTGAGGAAAGACTGAGCAAACCAGCCATGTTCAGCCTCGAGAAGGGAAGAATGAGGGGAGATATGACATCACTCTGCAAGTACCTGGAAGGCAAAGAGGAAGGACGGGATCTCTCCTTGGTCATTCCAGAGTGCAAGATGTGGAATAATGGGCTTAAACCAGATTTAGACTGGAAACCAGAAAGAATTTCCTCACTATCAGATCAGTATGACAATGGAACTTGTTACCTGGGGAAGCTGTGGGCTCTCCTCGCTAGACATTCAAAAAGCATCTGGACACTCATCTGAATGGGATGGTGTAACTTAATGTCCTGCAACAGCATGGGGCTGAACCTGATGGCCTTCTGGCCCCTTCCAACTCTACTGTTCCATGATTCCAGATGCATTGCTAATCAAAACAAAAGGTGAGCTCCACCCCACCCCACCCAGCAATATGGGGACAGCCTGGAATTTCCCTTGCAATAGTTACAGTGGAATGCAAACTACCTGTGCCCATTCCAGGCTCATGTTTCATGCTACGGAATCAGCAGATCTTAAGATTTGGTGGATCCAAAGCCATCTGTGCCTTCCATTGGAACATCCTATTGCAGTTTCCTATTGGCTGTTGCTGACCAAAATACCATTGCTGGTAGCCTTATGCCCACAGAGGACCGCCTCCACATCATGGTAACCCTCTCCAGCAAGTAACAACAAGGGCTCCCGATAGTTCAGACACATTATTTGATAAGTGAGAGCCTTGGAGACTTCCTTGTAGCCTCTTTACAAGCAGACCGCCTTCTGCAGAAACTTGCATGTGACACCCTTTCTATGTAACAAGTCACCTGCTCTCTGGTGCAGTTACAAGGCTCACTGGAACATATGATGCTCCACATGTACCCAGTACTAAGCATTACTGAATTTAGTGGGATGTGTTCCCAGGTAAATTGGTATAGGTTCAAGGGCTGCCACACTTAAATAACAGTATTTCCCTGGAGTAGCAAGATCTCCAGAGCCATCCAAATTTACTAACCCAAGTATCATTACAAACAACTTTCAGTGCTGTCCACCTTCTGATAATAGATTTTTATTCATAATAATATATTTTAAAGATATTGTTACAGGTCTTGTGTAATGTAATCCTATACATGTTTTCTCAGAAGCAAGCACCAATGAATTCAATGGGACTTATTTGCAGGTAAGGATGTATAGGACTGTAGCTTTATGCCATATTAGAATAATACTAGTGCTAAGATGCATTACCTAATACCTGAGACTGTGGAGTAATCAGTTAAAATATTCAGAAATGCTTAATTCTCTGTTATTCAAATTAGAAATCAGACTTTTTAAATCTAATATTCAAAGGCTTGCAATCCAATTTGGTCTACTTGACTTACCCATGGTTATGGCCCAGTTCATTACTAAAAATGCTCCTGAAAAAAATGTAAAGTTGCTTGTAAGAAAGGAAAGAACTACAATTTCAGGTTTGTATTTATTATCATCATATAACATTTCTCATTTTTATCTGACAGAGCAGGATAATAGAATAGTGAAACAGAATTTCCCAAGAATGAGTTTTAAGCATCCATAAAACAAGTTTTGATTGGAAAAAGGAAGTGACACATCAAATTTGGCTCCTTGCAGGCCATCATTCAGGATTAAGCACCCAGCCTTAAACCAACATATGACAAATAGTTGGAGGCATTGTGGAGCCTTTGATTTATTTAATGGTGTATGAATAATTGTACACACACATTCAGAGTACAGTGTACACAACTTAAACAGATGGCACACCTAAAATTCTAAATTAAAAAACTGCATGACAATCATGCATCCACCTCTGTTCTGTCACATAAAATTCTGAATATGTGGACCAACTGGTTTTATGCTTGTTGGGACAAAGCTGACAGCACCAGAGACCTGGTTCACATGACGTGACAACCTACCAATGATATCAGTCAATAACCAGTGGCTGGTTGGTTGGTTGGTTAACAACCCACAAGGGGAACCCAAATTGTCAAATGAGTAGCTTCAAACAATTTGTGCACACATTTCTGGGCACACAGTAAAAATAGTTCCTGGCAGCCACTTGTAGCTGTGCATAGAGCACTTTGAAAAGGGAGTTTGTTGCTGCTCAAACAGAGCTGAGGAAATTGATTAACAGCTGTCTTTCCCAATATTGGGGGGGGGGTGTCAAAATTGTGTCCCCATCATGGTGGGGATGGTCCTGCAGTGTCCCCTGGAATACCACCTGGAGGAAGGTGGAGAAGCGAGGAGGCAAATTACCCATGGGATGCCTGATCACCTACTGGGTTCATTAAAAGTGCTCCATGGAACCAACTCATCATGGCAAAACACTGTAGTGGGTTCTTATTATGCTGGAACTTTTTCTTAAGTTCCCAGAGATATAAAATTTTCTATCCAATGTGTTTATGGGTGGTGTGGATTTTTCTTCCCAGCCCTGAAGGATTATAAAAAGGCACATAGAACAATGAAATATAAAAGTAATGAATAAATGTTATCAATTTCAAACTATACATGTTGATTGAAAACAAGATCAGCCCAATGCAACTGATTAGCAGTAGTAGATGCAGCTTCCCTTCCCAGTTCAAATAAGGCATTTACAAAGAATAAATCTGTAGTTTTTAAAAAAGTAGCATGATCCTTAGAATGGGGAATTTGGTTGCTCAAATTCACTTTGTGTATCTTTGGATCCCTAAAACTTTCATTTGGACTCATATGAATATTTTAAATGTTTCCCAACCTGTTATTTTAAATTAGGTTAGATCATTCTTGCTTCTGTTCACACTATCCTTTTAATGATACATTTTGAAGCAATTACTAGACAAATTAAAGATGGAATTAGATGTTCCAAATTTTCCTGGTTTACTTGCTGGGTGAATCAAGTCAATGAGTTCATTTGATTATTTTGCCTTTTTGTGCAATTAATTCTGCCTTACATTGCAGGAATGGTGCAAGTCATAATGAATCCTTTGGAGAACTACTAAAGACAGGAACAGTCCCTCCGTTAGAGTGAAGCAAGCACCTCACCCAGACAGCAGAGTTGGCTGCTGTGAAGGGAGGCAGTGACGGCTTGACCCTTGGCCATTCCCTGCTGTTGGTGGAGAGAGCTGTATTTGTGAGGCAGCCTGTCCTGCACCTAACCTGAAGGGCTTGAGCTGACATGGGAGGATGGTGTCCCATCACCAGTACTAAAGTAACACTCAATCCAGTCAGCTCCTGCAGATACATAAAGACAGGGCATCATCTTCTCCTTCTACTCAAGCAGCAAAATGTCATGGGCTGACCCTAAATAAAACTGAGTAATAGACAAATCCAGATGAGATTTTCCTACTGAATTTGCATAATAAAAATGCATGTTTTTCCAGTATTTCTCAGCCTGCACACAAAAGAATACAACAGGCTGGCAAAATTGTCCAAACCAATATACTTAATCTGGTTCTGTGCAATATTTATTGATTTAAGATATTTGCATGCCGTCCTTTGCGAGAGCCTCACGATGGCTTACACAAAATTCCAAAATAACAATATAATATAAATTGATGACCCACTCTGGCTGCAATTAAAATATGGTAATAAAATTCAGTATTAAAACTTATTAAAATATTGATTAAATAAAAAGGTCTTAACCTGGCAC